AGTGACACGGAGTTCATTAACAATTTTCTCCTACTTCAGTGCAGAATAGTGACGTTTGTGTCTTGTTGATAATGTGTAGGTGGATGAGTAGTACGTGTAGATGAATGCACTTTGGCCGTTCAGACTGAAGTCACATGTCAAAAGATCAGATATGTATCGGTTTCAGGAGCACATATCCAAGTGTCCTGGGTCACATTTGAAAAAAATCGGATCTGTCATTAAAAGATCAGATACAGGTCACATAGAGGCCAAAAAATTGGATTTGGGTCACTTCAGGCTGCATGTAGCCTAACAGATAATAGCTGCTGGAATTATCATTGCATTGCATTATTAGTAAATCAATCTCTCATAGCTTTGTACTTAAATATAATGGTTGGTTCAAATGGTTAGTTCATGAGTAATTAAGTATGAAATAATTACTATATACTGAAACCAGGTCTAAACTAGATCTAAACCAAGTCTAAACCAGGACTAAACCAGGACTAAAAACAGGACTAAACCAGGACTAAAACCAGGACTAAACCAGGCCTAAAACCAGGCCTAAACTAGATCTAAACCAGGACTAAACCAGAACTAAAACCAGGTTTAAATCAGGACTAAACCAGGACTAAACCAGGACTAAACTAGATCTAAACCAGGACTAAACCAGGATTAAAACCAGGTCCAAACCAGGTCTAAACCAGGAGTAAAACCAGGCCTAAACTAGATCTAAACCAGGACTAAACCAGGACTAAACCAGAACTAAAACCAGGTTTAAATCAGGACTAAACCAGGACTAAACCAGGACTAAACCAGGACTAAACTAGATCTAAACCAGGACTAAACCAGGATTAAAACCAGGTCCAAACCAGGTCTAAACCAGGAGTAAAACCAGGTCTAAACCAGGACTAAACCAGGTCTAAAACAGGATTTAACAGGACTAAATCATGCATGTCTCCTCTTCTTCTATCAATAATATTTTTAATACAGTTAAGGAAAGTCTGGACTTTTTATTTTCTTTTATCAGACAAAACATCTTATGTTACGATATCCTTGTCCTTGCTTCTCTACAGCAAATCAAGTAATCCAAAGTATTCAGATTATGTTACTCACTTTAAGTAATTTAATGGATTCTGTTACAAACTACATTTTGGTGTATGTAATCTGTAATCTGTAGGGGAATACATTTTAAAAGTCACCTTCCCAACACTGTAGGACGTTTAAACTGCTTTCAAAGATTGTTTTATGACTTCATTACTTAAATTACCATCTATTTTAGTAATTAGAAGTGTGCAATTGAGTCATTTATAACAGTCGATGATCAGCTGTCCGTAAAAACATGTGGTTTGGAGCAGACGCACGACTTTGGTGGAAGAAATGCGACATGTGATATCGTAACATTTGTGCCCCTTGAAATGTACTTATTAAAATATTTACAGTACACATTCAAGTATCATGTCACTTTCTCCCTCTGGATACTTTAAGATAACATCAGGTTTCAACAAAGGACTGAGATCTGACGCCAGTAATAACAGAAGCCAGAGACGGTGAAATGTGCTGACTCTGCGAAAACGAAAACAAAACAAAAAAAGCGTAATATTTACTCTCTTTAAAAGTGCACTGTGTAACTTTTCTGATAGAGGGTCCACCACCTGCTTGTCTCCGTGGAGATGTCACCGTTATTATGCCTCTCAGTGGGGTCAGATCTGTGGAGAAGCGAGCCTGCACATGGTTTAAAAAGAAGTTGTATTTTTAAGGTATTTTTGAGCTCTTAAACACCTGTAATTAAACAAATGCAAGGGAAATATGATCAGTGTCGGGAAGGTGACTTTTAAAATGTATTCCCCTACAGATTACAGATTACATACCCCAAAATGTAGTTTGTAACGTAATCCATTAAGTTATTTAAGGTGAGTAATGTAATCTGAATACTTTGGATTACTTGATTTGCTGTAGAGAAGCAAAAACAAGGAAATCTTCACATAAGATTTTTTGTCTGCTAAAAAATAATAAAAAGCCCAGACTTTCCTTAACTGTATTAAAAATATTATTGACAGATGAGGAGGAGAGACGGTCCGCGTGGCATGGTTTAGTCCTGTTAAAGCCTGTTTTAGTCCTGTTTTAGACCTGGTTAAGATCTAGTTTAGACCTGGTTTTAGACCTGGTTTTAGTCCTGGTTTAGACCTGGTTTTAGTCCTGGTTTGGTTTTAGTCCTGGTTTAGACCTGGTTTAGTCTTGGTTTAGACCTGGTTTTAGTCCTGGTTTCAATCCTGGTTTTAGTCCTGGTTTAGACCTGGTTTAGACCTGGTTTAGACCTGGTTTAGACCTGGTTTAGATCTAGTTTTGACCTGGTTTAGTCCTGGTTTAGACCTGGGTTCAGTCCTGGTTCAATTCCGATTTAGTCCTTGGTTTAGTGTTTGGCAATGAGTGGAATTACCAAAAAAAAAAAAAAACAAAAAACAAAAACAAAAAAACCAACCAAACAAACAAACAAATAAAGGGATTTAGCCCAAAATGTGAAAACAGGAAAATACCGCCATGTAATCCATTTATTTCAACAAAGTAACTGTAATCCAATTACCACTCACTGAAACAGTAACTGTAACTGAATACAGTTACTCATAATTTGTACTCTGATTACATAACTCCGGTACATGTAATCTGTTACTCCCCAACACTGGATATGATTAAAGATCTACTGTGGAACATCCGGGCAAAGCAATAACATCTCCATGGAGACAAGCAAGTAGCAGAAAGTTACAGAGTGCACGTTTAAACTCAGCAGGAAAGTTTGAGTAATACGGAGCTGGAATATTTGTATACAACAATGAACTCTCTATGGAAATAAAAATATGTCACGCTAAATATAAAATGTTGTCTGTTGGTTCAGACTTAGTCCCGGATTATTACTAGTGATTGTTCAGGGCGTCTCCTGTTTAACTTTAAAAACCTCTGGGATCGGCTGCATGCTACAAACATATACTGTGGCGTACTTGTACTTGTACTTGTCCTTGTCCTTGTACTTGTACTTGTACTTGTACTTGTACTCATCAAGCGAAAGTGAATAGAAGTGGAAAAATAATACAGGATTTAATGACAAGCTTTGTTATCTGGATCGTTTGCTGGAAATAATTTGACCCATAATGTTTTGTCAGTAATGCTGTTTCTGAAAATGTGTCACCAGTTTCTTTACATGTTGTCATACAGATGTATCCCCTAAGTGCAACAAAAGTCTAAAAACTTACGTGGACGTATTTGTAAAATAGGAATGTAACAATAACTGAAATATCGTGATGTCGTATCGTCAAAAGTCTCTCAATAATATCGTGGACCGTCACAATATATGGAATCACAAGTCTCTTTGCTTAAATTCAGTGTTATGGTGCAGCATGAGCTAACAGAAACTTAGAAAAATGCATAGACCATGATCCTTTGCTCCATTTCAGTCCAATTTACATGATGAAATAACATTTTAACCCTTCCAGATCAATGGAATTGTATATGTCCTGTGACTTATACTCCAGTGTGACTTATATATTAAAATGTTCACACTGAAGAGGTGAGAGGTTCTAGTCTTGTGTGTGAGTATCTGCTGCTCCTGTTCCTCCTGTATCACTGTCACTTCACTCTACTGCACATGTCTCCTGCAGAAAGAGCCTCTGTTCTGTCTGTATCATGTCAGTCGATCGCACCGTTACTTCTGTACCACCGAACAATTAACATTTAAACAAACTTATAAAGACGACTGAGAAGACTGAACACAAATGCCCCAAAAAGACAAAATCAGATTTTGCAGATGTAGTAGTGAAATCTGCAGCTGAAAACGATAATTGAGCGAGAAACTTGTGACACCGGGAGGATGTAACATGAAACTTTCCTGAAGTCACTGGATGGATGGACAAAGTCTGGACTTCAGTGACACTGAAACCATCCTGTCGGGATTCAGAAAGACCCGAATAATTCTAACTGGAACTGATGCTGAGTCTGACGACAGCGACACAGAAGAGGAAGCGGCGCAACGTTTACCTCCAGAGGTCATGGAGTTGTTCAGAAGTGACACCGAGGATGAAGAATTGAATGGATTTAGTGATTTGGAGTGAGATGGAGAGTTTGGTAAACTTGTTCTGTTGTTTATGTTATAGTTTATCTGAAGAACTGTTCATATGTGACGTTAACAGTCTGTTGTTCTCTCTTCTGTTGTTATTACTACAACTTGACTTTTAACAGGAAATGTTGTTTCCTGGTCTCTGATTTTATAAAATTTCCCCCAAAAAGTGCCACTTATTTATATTTTTTTCTTCTTCATTATGCATTTTTTGGCTGGTGCGACTTATACTCCAGCGTGACTTGTAATTTACAGACTTCGTTTATCCCATGCAAATGTGCTGCAAGTAACACAGAGGTGGGGAGGTAATTTGCAAATGACCAGCTGTTCCCAGGTTGTACTTATCCTGAGTGAATCGGGCTTTAGTTTAAAGAGCCCATATGACACTATTTTCAGATCAATGTTCTAATGTTTTTTCCTCATCACAAACAGATCTGGAGTTGTGTTTTGTTTCATTCACACATGTTTAAACACACAAACTCTTTAGATTTAGATGGAGTTCTTCTCTCGAACAGAAAACACTCTGTTGGACCTTGTGATGTCATGTGGTGATACTGCTGTGTTTTTAAACTCCACACACCTTCACTAGAATCATCTGGATCATTTCTGCCCTGGAATTTCCAATCTCTGCTGAGCTAAATGTGAAAGGAGCTGTTCACTTGAAAACTACCGCTTCATGACATCACAAGTTGGAACAGAGCATTTTGAACTTTGGAGATTTAGAAAAACTCATAAAAAAGAATAGCTCTGACATGTGTGAGTGAAACAAAACACAACTCCAGGTCTGTGTTTGAAGAGGTAACAACATTCTAACAGCTCACAGTCAATTTTACATAATACTGAACCTTTAAAAATACCCAAAAAATTATCCATTTGAATTCTAAAAGCAAACAATCGTGTATTTAAATATCTGTACCTGTTTTGGGGTCCACGCTGAAGAACGCCCTGTGCGCCTCCAGCATGTCGTACGTGATCTGACCGTCGGAGGAGCTGTCTGCGTCCGTGGCCTGGACCTGGACCACGGACCGGACCTCGTGAGAGTTTTCCGGGACCGATCCGAAGTACACGGGCTGGCTGAGCTCCGGGGCGTTATCGTTCACGTCCATCACCTCAACGAAGACGTGAGACCAGGAGACGAGCGGTTCGGTCCCCAGATCTGTGGCGTACACTGAGAGCCAGTAGTGAGGGGTGGTCTCCCTGTCCACGGGCTCTGTGGTACGGATCACGCCTACGGACAAAATACAAGATAAAGTAGAAACAATAATCTTAATAATAAATAATAATCTTCCACATGCACAAATGACAGCTTTGTTTCAACATGCAAATTTTCACTTTTACAATTTTTTTTTATTTTTACCCAAATTTACTTTCTAGCAGTACATAATAGTTATGCATTGGATAATAGGGTGGTCCTAATTTATGAACTTTTAAAATCATATGGTCTAAGGTTTGGTTTGAAGGTGGAAAAAGCGCTATATTAAAATGTGACCCTTTACCATTATTAGTCTAACCATGAAATAATTGCCATCAAAACTAAAATTCAAAAGGCCAGGGGTGTTGTGGGTGTGGTACGCGGGAGTACGACGTCCATCCACTTCTCCCGACGTGACATATAAAAAAATAACAAATATAAAATAGCTAAAACTTAAATGTCAAACCGGAGCTATTGATGAAAACAACCTGCATAGGCTCATGATATCTGCACTATTGTCCTATAGTGACCTGAGACATGAGGGACCAGGACTGAACCAGGACTAAACCAGGACTGAGTGTCAGGATGAGTCGGGATGAGCCCAAAGGTGCGCCCGCGTAGACCGTCAGGTGACCGCAGGTGAAAGGACCGACGCAGAACTCCACACACCACAGGGATCCGCGCAGCCGTCGCCTGATCGTGCTTTGCGGACACCCTGCTCCACGGGCTCGTGGTTCTCTCTCTCGTTCTCAAGTCCAAGATTAGTCCTGGTTTAGACAAGGTTTTGTACTGATTTAGTCCTGGTTCAGTCCTGGTTTAGACCTGGTTTAGTCCTGGTTTAGTGCTAGTTTAGTCCTGGTTTAAACAAGGTTTTGTACTGATTTAGTCCTGGTTCAGTCCTGGTTTAGGCCTGGTTAAGTCCTGGTTTAGACCTGGTTTAGTCCTGGTTCAGTCCTGGTTTAGACCTGGTTTAGTCCTGGTTTAGTCATGGTTCAGTCCTGGTTTAATCCTAGTTTAGTCCTGGTTAAGTCCTGGTTTAGTCCTTTTTTAGACCTGGTTTAGTCCTGGTTTAGTCATGGTTCAGTCCTGGTTTAATCCTAGTTTAGTCCTGGTTAAGTCCTGGTTTAGTCCTTTTTTAGACCTGGTTTAGTCCTGGTTTAGACCTGGTTTAATCCTGGTTTAGTCCTGGTTTAGTCCTAGTTTAGTCCTGGTTCAGTTCTGGTTTATACCTGGTTTAGATCTGGTTTGGTCCTGGTTTAGACAAGGTTTAGTCCTGGTTTAGTCCTGGTATAGTCCTGGTTTAGACCTGGTATAGTCCTTTTGTACTGCTGGTTCAGTCCTGGTTCATGTGTTGTAGTCTATGCTCTATGTTTTGTAGGTGATTATGAACGGCGTTCATGTTAATAACATGATTCCCCACTTTAAAAATCCCCACTGCACCACTGTGATGGGCTGAGGTGAATTCCTCAGAAGATGATGGTCGTGCAGTGACACTGACACGAGTCTGGGAGGGAAAACAGTGCAAACATGTCCCACTGGTGGACCCAGCACTGCTCAATCAAACTTTCAAGAATCTTCTTTCAGACTAACACGTCACAGAGTTTACACTGAACTTTCTTTTTTATTGCCTCTCATTGAAACGTGTCTTCAGCAGAATGTCTTCACACAAAAACTAACATCAATAAAATATTTTCTCTCAGTCAATGTTATGTTTTCTTTCATCAGACTACAAAAGCATGTCCCTGTTGAGTGAACAGGTCATTCTGTTGCAAAACTGTGACTCTTTAACTGTGTTACCTTCAGTAATTCAGCAGTAATGAGGACCGCAAAGACAAAAACTTCAAGGTCTTTGAGCTCCTTTAACTATGCATACTTTTTTGTGAATGTTTGCAAACCCCCTTTTTAATGAAATGCTATATATCTAGGAGATCAGAGAGAGACATTTTTAACAACCCTTTTGGATCATCATCATAGAATATTTTGTAAATTGCAAACTTATAAAGAGGCGTATGTGAGCGTGTTGGCAGAGCATTGAATACACGTGAATACTATCGCTGGTATTTGTAAGATACTTTAAATACTTGCTGACAGCTTTTTAGTAATTTGGTAAATAGTACATTGATTATTACCACAGACTGTAGAAAAGAAGTGGACTAAGCGACTGTGACGTCACCCACAGCGTTCGGTGTCGCTCAAATGAGGCTCGCAATGCTCATGGTTACAGGAGCAAATCTGGAGCCAGGCCCCGTCCACACTAGTATGTATTTGAGTCGTTTTTGTTGTGGATGTAGTGTTCGTCCATACTAATCCAACTGAAAAAGGCTCGACGGAACGATCTGGTGTCTGTAGCTCCCACGAATTCATCTGAGTACAGATCTGATCCGACACCGTGCGGACGCCTGAAAATGATGATGGGCTGATACGCCGATGTAGGTCTGTGCACTGCAAAGTAATTCACCGCCAACACGCTAAGAGGCTAGAATATATGTCCATTCATATATACATTCTGTGTGTACGTCCTGCAGACGTATAATCTCTGAAAAGTTTAACATGAACCATCTACAACGTGATAGAAGCACAGAACAGACTCACCATCAGCAGAACACCCCTCTGTCACAGAAAGAACACTCATATTCCACTGAGTCGTGTCCTTTAGTCCGACAGAAGCTGAACCGCATCGGTGCAATATCGAGCTGTTTTTTTAGCTCAGTTTATGCAAATTAGCCATGTGATTTTAAGTTTTGTTTCGGTGAGAGTTGCGCAAATCTGTATTAAACACATTATAATGTCAAACGGGCTGATGTGGCTCTAGAGTGGTTACGGTTTATATGTCGTAAAGTTGAATTTATTGATTAGTAGTGATAATAATAGATAGTAATAATAATGATGAGAATTTTAATATGAAAACATTAATTATTAATCGATAATCGATCGTTTATTCTCCCGACGATCGATTAAGAATACTTAATCAAATGCCCATCCCTAATGAGGACCCCCTCGAAAACGACATGGCAAGGCATCTCAAGGGGCTCATCCAAATTCAAATTCAATTACAAGTCTCTTTGCTTAAATTCATCGTTAGTTGCAGCATGAGCTAAAAGAAACAGAGGAAACTACATGGCCCATGATCCTTTGCTCTGTTTCAGTCGAATTTACACGATAAAATAACTTAGAAAGAACTTTTAAATCTTTAGTCTTTAGTTTATGACAGAACCAAAGGCTTGTGAAGGTATTTTTAAAGGAAAAAGTAGTATATTCACAATTTTTATAACCCCAACTAAAATATCGTAGAGAGAAATTTGGACATTGTTACATCCTTATGACGTGGCTTTAAACCTCAAGGTAAACTTCAATGAGAGAAGTCAGAATGACATAATACTCCAGGCAGGCTAATAAACCTTGTAACAGTCAACATGTTGTCTTTCCCCAGTATGAAACTTTTATTTGGCTTTTTATTTGACTTTCTAGTAGCGACTTGTTTAATCCTGATGCCACGCCCTGGGAATTAACCGCGATCGCCTTTAATATCCCAAACGCTGTAGGGAATAAAACCTCAGAATGTTTGTTTTTCTGGAGAACTCTGGATCTGGGCCAAAAAGTGTGACAGTTTGAGTGGATTTGACCGAGATGTCTCATTAAAACCTCAAGAACAGAAAGCAGACAATGCTTTGGTCTTGTTCTAGTTCAGAGTTAGTCCTGGTCTAGTCTTGGTTTAGTCCCAGTTTGGTTGTAGTGATTGTGCAAGTGTGAACGCGCCCTGAAATCACACTTCTGACATGCAGCGGTTTGTGCCTGTGATTCATGCACATTTGGGACTGGCACAATATAAACACTAAAATAAATGTCAGGTGGCTCAGTGGTTCGAGCAGTGGTCTCTCAGCCTGAAAGTTTGAGGGTTGATTCCTGCCTGGGCAAAGTTCTACTGTAGTGTCTTTAGGCAAAACACTTCACATGTACTGCCAGGTATGAAAGTGATATGTGTGAACAGGTGAAAAAAAGAAAAAAAAGCTACTATAAAATCTTTTTAATTTGTAAATATCTGTTCCTGATATCTTTTGCCCCTCCATCCATCCATTTTCTTCCACATATCCAGGGTTGGGTCACGGGGGCAGCAGTTTAAGCAGGGACTCCCAGACTTCCTTCACCCTGGACACGTCCTCCAGCTCCTCCAGGGGGACCCCGAGGCGTTCCCAGTCCAGCCCAGAGACATAGTCTACGTTCAGACTGCAGGGCTTAACGCTCAATTCACATTTTTTTGTGAAATCCAATGTTTTTGTGAGGTCGTTCACATTTCCAATTAAATGTGACTTGTATGTGACTCCAGTGTGAACATTAAATGGCCCAAAAGTGTCCCGCATGTGCACTGGAGACACGACGACATAAACCGCAGCGAGCGTGCTCTGTGTTTATGGAAGTTGTCCAAACATGGACGTGAGCATTGATCACCTGGAGATTTTAAAGTTCGAGGTTTTTGGCCATGGTGTTTTGTGGGGCAGTGGGACGTCTGTTGAAAGGAACGTGTGGATGTGGAGACGTAGCCAAGAGTGGTGAGTGGTGATGTGCTTCTCTTCAGTGACACAGAGTTCATTAACAATTTTCGCCTACTTCAGCGCAGAATAGTGACGTTTGTGGCTTGTTGATAACGTGTAGGTCGGATGAATGCGCTTTAGCCGTTCACACTGAAGTTGCATGTCAAAAGATCAGATATGTATCGGTTTCAGGAGCACATATCCAATTAACAACATATCATTAAAACATCAGATACAGGTCACATAGGGGCCAAAAAATCGGATTTGGGTCACTTCAGGCTGCAGTCTGAACGTAGCCATAGTCCCTCTAGTGTGTCCTGGGTCTTCCCCGGGGACTCCTTCTGGTGGGATGTGCATGGAACACCTTCTGAGGGAGGCGCCTGAGCCACCTCAACTGCTCCTGTCGACATGGAGGTGCAGCGGCTCTACTCCGAGCTCCTCCTGTGTGACTGAGCTCCTCACCCTGTCTCTAAGGCACAGACACCCTGCGGAGGAAACTCATTTTTG